TGAAATTTAACTTGATCCCTGAGGGATAAACAGGGGTTAGCCCTCTCCCTTTAGATGCCTTCTTTCATGTAGTACCACAGAAAACATCTGTTGTAGGAATGAAGAACAGATGACTTTTGCAGGTGTCTCAGAACTAGGTGAGTTGAGGGGGCTGCCATACTTTTCTGGAGAAGGATTCCTTAAGTCTTTCCATTTCCCGGTCTTTACTCCTTGGATTGTTGCACAGAGACTCCAGCAGTACACAGGGGGCTCCTCACTTCGTAGGGACCCAAGAGAACAGGAGTCTCGAGGGCATCTCTGTAAGCCCAGTTTTAAAATAGAACTGTGTATGTGCATGAGAGAGAAATAGCTTGGGAGAGAAAGCAAGCACTCTGGTTGGCTAGAGAGGGGAACTTGAAATATGAGTTTGGCGCAAACATAACTTCAATATCCTCTGCTGGGTCAGTTTACTCCCCACCCCCCAACTGGTTCTGAGAAATAAGACGCCTGGTTCTACCAGAGAAGGATGACCCATTTTGAAAGAGGTTACCCTGATCGGTTCTGTTTCTCTCTGCACTGGAACTGATTATGAGCTTGGTCTTGATGTCCACTCAGGCTTGATGTAGATGTGGGCAAACCCCAGGGCCCTGAAGCTTCAGAGTGCGAGCGAGGCAGGAGGTCACAGGGTATAAGGAAAGAACTCAGGCTGGGACTGAAGCCCTGAGTCGTGGTCCGTGGTCTTTTGCTGCAGAGCTGTAAACTCTTGAATTTGTCCCTTTACTTCTTTGAGCCTCAGGTATTTTCATTTGTAAAACAATGAAGAAGGTTGCATATTAATTGATCTGTGAGACCAGTCCAGCACTGATATCCTAAATATTCTGAGCTAATGCATCCCAATTATGATAGATGAGTGAACTTTCTTGAGCCTGAGGATTGGCCTCCCAGTGCCACTGGGTCTGCTCTGTGATGATCGTGCAGACCTTGCATGCAGGAAGATCAGACAGCAGCTGGAGAAGGCTGCCCATGCCTGAACCAGAGGGGCTCCATGGAAGAGCTTTGGGCTGCTCCTAGTTCCCTGTGTGCTCGTCAGCTTTTTCTTATTGGAACAAATACCTGAGATAATCCTACTAATGAAGTGAAAAAATTTATTTTGCCTCCCAGTTTTGGCGATTCCAGCCCCTATTCAGCTGACCCTGTTGCTTGGGCCTGGGATTCACCACAGTGAGGTGAGGAAGCTCATCATGGCGGAGCACGCACTGGTGCACAACCATTTGCCTCACGGCCAGAGAGCAGGAGAGAGAAGAGAGACTGGGGTCCCACAGCCCTCTCCGCCCACCAGACCCTAGAGGTCCCTTCCAACAGTGCCACCTTTAAAAGGACCACACCTTTAGCATGTGGGCCTCTGGGGAACATTCCAGATGTGAGCTACGGCACCCTCCCAGGAGCAGGTGCAAAAGCCCAGTGGGGGGCTGAGGATGTGGGGACCTCAGGGCTCCGTCAAGCTTTGTGTGATTCGGGATTTCTCATGTAACTTTGAAATCATTCACAAATTAAGCCCCTTAGTAAATGTTATTTGAAAAGATGGCAACATGAAATCGGACAGAGGTGCTTAAGCCTTCAGGACATGGTAGTTACAGTAAATGGAGTCCCGACTTTTTATCTCTTTATTTTGCCTTTCTTTCTTTCTTTTCTTTTCCTTCCTTCCTTCCTTCCTTCCTTCCTTCCTTCCTTCCTTCCTTCCTTCCTTCCTTCCTTCCTTCCTTCCTTCTTTCTCCCCCCTCCCCAGCTGACCTTGAACTTCTGGTAATCCTCCTGCCTTAGCCTCCCAAGTGCTGGGATTACAAGTGTGTATCACAGTGCTTGGCTGTTTTGCTTTTTCTATTACAACTTTCACGTCTTTAGGCAAGCAGATATAATGCCCCACACCTAGCTGTAATCAGAAATTTTTGCCATATTTAGGCACCTGCTGTGCTTGTTATTTTAAAACATGTTAGGAGATGTAGCTTAATGGTCGAACCCTTGCCTGCATGTGCAAAGCCCTGGATTCCATCCCTATCACTGCAAAAAAAAAATTAAAAAAAATAAAATAAAATAAAAAAATAAATAAAGTAAAAGTGTCATATTTTAAATTCCTAAATAGATGCAACTCTAAAAACCAAGGGCATTTTCATATTTTATCATGCTTAACAAAATTAATCAATTTCTCTATGTGGCCCTCAAATTTTTCGATTTGTTCAAAACCCAAATTCATTATGTATCTTGTTTCTTTTCATGTGGGACAGTCCTTCCCATTACTTTTCTTCTTCATGAGTTAAAAAAATTGTACCAGTTGCCCTGTAGACTGTCCTGCTTGGTCTGTTGTGTTTTTTCATGCCGCATAATGTGGACCCCTCTGTGCTTTCTGTGAAACGGAGGCAAAATCTGAAGTGTCCAGTAGATTCAGGCTTCATGGGTGGCACTCTGTGTGTCACACTGCACCACACATCAAGAGGGCTTTAGTCTGATTATGTCACTCTTTGTGGTGTTAAGTTTCTCCTCCTCTTCCTTCTGTTCTTTCTCCACTCCCTCCTCTCCTCTCCCCTTCATCCTTCTCCTGGTGCTGGGCATGGGACCCAGGCCATCACTAGGGAAGGGATGCATAACTGGGCTACATCCCGAGCTGCTGCTCCTCCTCCTCCTCCCTTCCCCTCTTCTTTTGCATTACTGGGGATTCAACTCAGGGCCTTTGCACAGAGCTATATCTTTAGCCTTATTAAATTTTTGAGACAGGGTCTTGTTAAGCTGCCCAGGCTGGGCATGAATGTGTGATCCTCCTGCCTCTGCCTCCCAGAGTGTTGGGATTACAGTCATTGTTTCTTTTTAATGCTCACTTTTGGTAGTGGAAGCCTCTTCTGGTCAGCTTTTACATTATAGGGCACTAAGCAATGTTGTAGATTTATCTTGTACGCTCCTTGTACCAGACCTTGAAACCTCTCTTTCTCCGAAGAGGATGGAGTGGGACAGTTACTGAGAGACCATCCTTTTCTCTTGATTAGTATGGTTACTTTTGGCTTTTGGGAACATCTACAAAACTATCGGTCACTTCTGAGTATTAAATTTTGTATCTCCAAATACGCTTGTGAATTAGTTTAACAGGAAAGACAGTTCTTTCTTAAATGTATATGTGGGGGTTGGATTTTGAAGACTTGATTGTGAAGATGAGTGTTTTTTCATATGAGATTGAAGGCAGAATAAAAAAGGCTAAAAAACATTGCTATCATGTGTTGTGGTTTCAATCCCTGAGATCCTTTACTTTTCTGCTTATGATCTTTGATCTTTCTGAAGCAGCCCTGAATCTTCCCTGGAAAGACCCAGAGTGTCCCAGGAGGGAGGTCAGCTGGGGACCAGCAGCATCCTAGATGGGGTGAGAGGACGATGAGGGGACCTGAGGCTCAGAAAACGCAGAGTGAGGGCCACAGAAGACATTGTCACTTAGGAGGAGGACATATGGGATCCAGCTTCTTCCACCGAGGTCCCCCCAGTTTTAGATATCTCCCTGGGAAGCCGCAGCTGCTTGCTGGCTGGGAGATGTGGTCTCAGCGGATGACATGCTGTTTGTGGGTGGTTGCTGGATGTAGAACATGCTTTTCTTAGTTCCGAATTGAATCCTCAGATGGAAGTAGAAAACAGGGCTCCGCAGTAACACAGGAAGAGCAAGGGATGGGACCCTGAGATCTCTGGCTTCCTACACGTGCTTGTAGCGGGTGGAGAAAAGAGCTACAAGGTGGCATCATAATGACAATGGTGATGGTAAGGACAACAGTGACAACAGTCACGGCCAATTGATTGTTCTCAGGTGAGGGGAGGTTGAGTAACTCGTCAAGTTTACACAGCACAGGAAGTGAACGGAGAAAGTAGGTCGGAACCCTGGGGTGTGGGCCGCCTTGAGTGTGAAGCCTTTCCCTGACTCCAGGGAGCTTAGCAGGTGGAGAGAAAGGGCTCAGCTGGAAAAGTGAACTGGTTTGCAATCGGTCCTGACATGGCTGATTCTTGGGGATGTTGCTCAGGGCGCCTGCCCCGCCCCCTGTGTCCCAGGAACCTGAATTTGGACTTGGGCTCTGTATATTCATGCCCAGCCCTGCTGTCTGGAGTCTGTGCTCCTGGCTCAGGTTACCCAGAGCTGCAAAATGCCAAGTCAGGTCATGGGTAAGAATAGAAACCCACAGACCTGGCACATGCTTCCCTGCTGGGCTCTGGAGGCACAGGCACCTTATGTGGGCTGCTGCTTCCCTACAGCTGAGGTGCAGGGTGAGTCCATCTTCCCAGCAAAACTTCATGGTAGGTGTCTATTCACACACACACACACACACACACACACACACACACACACACACACAGTATTCATGCTTGGACCAGTCAGGTAACATCACTTCACATCAGAGTAACACAGAGATAAGGACACTCTAAAGGTTAATTTTATTTGTAATCATAACACTAATGACACCTGTGGTAGCTGCCTTCAAAGCATATTTCTCCTACGAATGTTCATGTGCTCTGGGATGTTCTGAGACCACGTGTGTGTGTGTGTGTGTGTGTGTGTGATGTCTCAGAAAGTCAAGGAGTGGGCATGAATGAGAATTTCATCCCTGTGTGTCCCTGTAGTGGATTTAGGGATAGTTTATGATGTCATCTTTGACTCTTCCTTTGTTCTTCTTTAGTATAAGGGTCTAACAGTGCAGAAGGAACCCCGTGTTAGTCTCTGCAGCTGCCCTTTCTTTTCTTTTCCTGGTCCAGTGGTTAACCCTGAAAAGCAACCTTTAGAGCCAACCACAGAACGACTGTGTAATTTGGAGCCCAGTCTTGGACCATTTGCAGGGTGCCTGAACCCCTGAAACCTCATCTGCCCCTGGCGGAGTTGGCAGGGCTGGAGGGGTGGGTATCTTGTAGGGTGAATGCAGGAATAGTCGTGTCCTTCCTTCCATGTGGGCCTTCTTCATGTTGGGGCCAAGGCCTCTGACCTTGACTCTGCCCTCTTCCCACAGCGGGAATGCATTTCAGTGCACGTGGGTCAAGCTGGAGTTCAGATTGGCAATGCCTGCTGGGAGCTTTTCTGCCTGGAGCACGGCATCCAGGCGGACGGCACCTTTGGTGCTCAGGCCAGCAAGGTCAACGATGATGACTCCTTTACCACATTCTTCAGCGAGACAGGCAATGGGAAGCATGTGCCCCGAGCTGTTATGGTGGACCTGGAACCTTCGGTCGTAGGTGAGTAGAGTATGGGCCGATATTCACTCCTCAGAGAACAACAGGAGACTGCAGATGCTTTGGCCCACAGAAGCTAAAGGAGGTGACCTTGTGTAACGTTGGTGTCAGTTCCTTCTGGTCAGCTGCACTTATTTTCTTGGTACAAAGGATTAACCCTGGAAAGCAAACACAGTTGTGGGGAAATCCTGTAATCAAGGATCTCTGCTAATCTAAGCAGCAAATAGGCCTGTGTAAGATAGACTGAAACTGCCAAGATTGTTTTAAATATGAAGGATTTAAAAACCCATATAACAGAAATTACAAGAAGCCCTGATACAGTATATTTCACAAAGTATATGTTTCTGATTCTATAATAATGGAGTCTGTCCTCGTGGATCTGGTGTAACCTCAAAGCAGCTTACCCAGGAAATGGTGTAATAGCAGGCGAGTTTGCAGCCAGTGGTGCTGTAGTTAGCTCCACAAGGAACCTCACTTGGAGCAAGGAAAACATAGAGGAATTCTGACTTGTCTCAGGGCAGGTTTCCTGATGTTCAGCCCCTTCCTTTCCCATCCTCCTTCCACTCACCCTGGCTCTGACCTCTAAGTCAGCTTCAAGGCTCATTGAGCAAGGGATGGACAAGTTCCACGTTCCATGGAGGGTTGTGAGCAAAGGCCCATGATGCTTGGACACCAGTTTGCAGGGACAACTGATGACTGGTACTCCACCTCTCGGTTGCTTTATACAAATGCAAAAAATGCAAGTAACTGTCCCAAGCCACTGCACACATGGATGGCTTCCCTGGAGGAGAGTAAAGAATCATGAAAGAGGTGACCAGTTGGGGTTTAATGCTTCTTGGTCTACTCAGGGGGTCTGTGCAGACTCCCGGAAGTGAGCAGATCCCCCCACCCCACCAAAAGCCTTTCTAAGTCTTGTGCTCCTCTATCACTGGAGCACAGCTTTGCTTAAAGTAATTCTAAAATAGGTCTAGCGGTTGGGGGTTGAGTTCAGTAATAGAGCATGTGCAAGGCCTTGGGTTCTGTCCCCAGCACCACACACACATACACTTGTGCATGCGTGTATTTGTGTGTATCTAATGCCTGACACTAACTGCTGCCTTCAGATGAAGGTGAGGGATGAGACAATTCCTAGGAAGACCTGGGATCTGGGTAGATCACCCTTTATCTTTTTCCATGTCCTTAGATCACTTGAATGCAAATGAAATTGGGTTAAATTATTGGTATCAAGGTAACCTTACATATGAAAGAAAATAGAGGAGCCTTGAGTGGTCAAGGTGGAAGGAGGAGAGGTAATTAAATGAGAGATTTGCACTGAGCCACATCCCTGGCCCTTTTTATTTTGAGATAGGGTCTTGCTGAGTTGCCTAGGCTGGGCTCCAACTGGGAATCCTCCACCTCAGTCTCCCACAGAGTGCTGGGATTACAGATTTGTGCAAGCATGTCTGGCTAACCTAAGGCTTTTAAAATTTTGACAGGAATCAAACTTGGGCCCTTGTGCTTGTGAGGCTAAATCCCAAAACCTAGTTTGACTTTTTTTTTTTTTTAATTTTTTTTTAGTCTCTTAACATTTTAAGCCGCAGAGCATCTGGCTTTTCAGTGCCTGTAGGCTCTGGCTTGGTTAGTGCCTATGTTACTCAAGAATTCTCTTAACTTTTTGCAGATTTATTCTAGGGTTGTCTGTGTCACTTGGATGGCATTGGATAGGCATGGCCAAACAGAAGTTTATCATGTGGTAGTCTAGTGGGGAGCAAGGTACCTCCCCAGAAACCAGGTGTTACTATCTAATGGCCTCCTCTCTTGTTAGATGAGGTTCGAGCAGGAACCTACCGCCAGCTCTTCCACCCAGAGCAACTGATCACAGGAAAGGAGGATGCTGCTAACAACTATGCCCGGGGTCACTACACAGTGGGCAAGGAGAGCATTGATCTGGTGCTGGACCGCATACGGAAGCTGGTAAGTGTCAATAAGGGCAGGGGAATGGCAAGCCAGGCTAGCAAGCAGGCTTGAGCTTGTGCCTTTCTCACCAGCCTAAGAATCACATGACCTGTGGCTATAGAGAAGAGATCCTAAGGTTTGGGAATTTCTGGTTGTTTTGTTTTTTTGGGGGGGAGCTAAAGATTAAACCAATCTCTAACCCTCAGACTCTTTTTTTGGGGGGGTACCAGGGATTGAACTCAGGACCTTGTGCTTATAAGAAGTGGCAGTTAATGGCAAGCCAGGCTAGCAAGCAGGCTTGAGCTTGTGCCTTTCTCACCAGCCTAAGAATCACATGACCTGTGGCTATAGAGAAGAGATCCTAAGGTTTGGGAATTTCTGGTTGTTTTGTTTTTTTGGGGGGGGGCTAAAGATTAAACCAATCTCTAACCCTCAGACTCTTTTTTGGGGGGGGGGTACCAGGGATTGAACTCTGGACCTTGTGCTTGTAAGGCAAGTGGCAGTACCACTGAGCTAAATCCCCAGCCCCTCAGACTCTGTTTTATAAGAAGCATTCAAGGAAAGTGCCCCTTCCTTTGCCTGGCACCATGGACTTTCCAAAGATGGAAGCCTAAGTACTAATACTTATTGATATTCTATGCAGTCTCAAGGGAGATCCCAGGTATAAGGAAGGCTGTGGTCTTTGCTTCTTAGAAGCATGCATAACAAATCTCTTAACTTAGACAAGGAGAGGAAAAGATATTGCTGATACATTTGAGCCCTCACAAATGCCACTACAAATGTCAAATGTGTACATTCTTTCATTTAATCCTGGACTAAATAAAGAAATACTGCGGTTCAGTAACTTAAATTGGGTCACACAGCTATAGAGTAGCAAGGTTAGGATTTGAATCAGGTTGGTTTGACTAAAAACTCAGAGCTGTAGATGAAGTCACTTTGTCTTTACCTGTATAAAGAAGTGGGCTCGATCAAAAGTTCTTTACCTGGGAGCTCAGGACACCACAATTTTTCATATGTTCCCTTTGTCTATTTAGAGTGGGGTCATAGAGGTCATTAGTCTCCAAGCCATCTGTGTTGCCCCAATAGTTCAGAACCGTGGGATTAGATGATGATAGATCATCATACCCAATGAAAAATGTTGTAATTCTATGCATCTCTTGCTACTGATAGGAGCCAACAGTTATTACACATAAGCTCTTTTCTCAGAACATTATTCAGCATCATTTAATAACTACAATAATCTTTTAAGGTGAGGAAGTTTTATTTTCCTCGCTTAACCAGGCAGGAAAAAAAGTTCAGAGAGGCGCAATAATTTGCTCAAGTTTTTATAACTGGGAAACTCAGAATGGGTTGGTTTGCTTGATTTGGCCATTCCACAATGTACACAAAAAAATCACTGTATCCCACTGTACCCTATCAATATGCACTGCTATAATTTGTCATTGTTGAATTAGGTTCTTTCTTTTTGGTACTGGGGATCGAACTTGGGTCCTTGTGCTTGTGAGTCAGGCTCCGGAACCACTGAGCTAAATCCCCAGCCCTGTCATTGTTGAATTAAAAAAAAAAACAAAACCCAACTCTCAGGTTCCCTGACTCTGTTTACATTTCTAAAATTGGTACCCAGAGCCGCCCTTCAAGGTGAGGAAGATGGGTAGGTGAGCAGTTCTCACAAAATCATGACAAGGACAGGGATACTGGGCAAGGGTGGGACTCCCAAAGGGCAAAGTGACAGACCACTGTGGCTTGGAAGCTCCTGGTTTTACTAAGCTCCTGGGCCCAAAGCTTCCCATACCTTGGCCTTCTGTAGTTGACCATCCCATATTTTAGGTTCCCAAGATTAAAACTCTTCCTTTCTTGTTCTCCTTTCCTCCTGGGATGTTTGAGTTCACTCACATAAAACTGTTGAGGGATGGGGTAGGGCAGACTGAGTGGGTTGCCTGGTTATGTCCCATTGGGGGCTTCTCAGAGACTTGTCTTAGGATTTCTTCCCACTTCCTGCTCTTCCCAGACAGACGCTTGCTCGGGCTTGCAGGGCTTCCTGATCTTCCACAGTTTCGGCGGTGGCACTGGCTCAGGCTTCACATCTCTGCTGATGGAGCGTCTCTCCCTTGACTATGGCAAGAAGTCCAAGCTGGAGTTTGCCATCTACCCAGCACCCCAGGTCTCCACCGCAGTGGTTGAGCCCTACAACTCCATCCTGACCACGCACACCACCCTGGAGCACTCGGACTGTGCCTTCATGGTGGACAACGAGGCCATCTATGACATCTGCCGCCGGAACCTGGACATTGAGCGCCCCACCTACACCAACCTCAACCGCCTCATCAGCCAGATCGTGTCCTCCATCACCGCCTCACTCCGCTTTGACGGGGCCCTCAACGTGGACCTCACCGAGTTCCAGACCAACCTGGTGCCCTACCCCCGCATCCACTTTCCACTGGTCACCTATGCGCCTATCATCTCTGCTGAGAAGGCCTACCACGAGCAGCTGTCGGTGGCTGAGATCACCAGTTCCTGCTTTGAGCCCAATAGCCAGATGGTGAAGTGTGACCCAAGACACGGCAAATACATGGCCTGCTGTATGCTGTACCGGGGGGACGTGGTGCCCAAAGATGTGAATGTCGCTATTGCTGCCATCAAGACCAAGAGGACGATCCAATTTGTTGACTGGTGTCCTACAGGCTTCAAGGTGAGAGCCAACGAGGATAGACAGTTGCACATGCAGAGGGAATCTGGGTGTGGGTGCAGGCCTGCAGTTCCAGTACTCTGGGAGGCTGAAGAAGACGGATCATGAGTTCAGCCAGCCTGGGCAACTTGGCAGCTTGGTGAAACCCTGTCTCAGAAATACAAGAATAAAGAAGGGCTGGAGATGTAGCTCAGTGAGATGGGCCTAGGGTCAATCACCCATACTAGAGAGAAAGAGAGAGAATGAAATTGGGGTGAGGGATAGAAACCACGGGTGTCATTAACTTCATTCAGCTGTGGTCAAGACACAAATCCCATTGAAGTTTTGTCTGTTTAGGCCATTTTAGAAAATGAATGAGTCTGGTACTATTTCAAATTGGTAAACCATCTCTGAATTTTTTAAAACATTGTTTTACTGAGGGACCTGAATCACAATGCTTACAGGGTGGTTCTTTATATGAGTCAATTCAATTTGCCTAAAGTTAGTTTCAGTGGATATTTTATACTTCTAGGTGCATTTTAATTTTAAAGTTAACAAAAGATGTATTCTCCTAATTTATTTTGAAAAATTAACTATGTTTAAATCAGCTTGGGGTTAACAATAAGATAATTTTTGTCGCAATTATAATTGTAAATCACTTGGGTCACGAAGCCCTGACATTTTCCATTCCCATTAACTGGGATACAACCGTTCTGAGGAGAAAGGAATGTCACTTCCTTCTCCCTGCTCAATCCCTAGCTACTACATACAGCAACTTTCTCTCCTAGACCACGCCGATTTTTGCATGACAGTTCTGGTAATTCTTATAAAAACAGTCAGGGACTTCCCAAAACATGAAGTTTCTTTTCCCCTTCCGAAAGAGAAATTTTAAAAAACTAGTAGGAGCCAGGCATGGTGGCTCCTGCCTGTAATCCCAGCACTTGGGAGGCTGAGGCAGGAGGATTGCCATGAGTTGGAGGCCATCCTGGACTATGTAGTTCAAGGCTAGCCTGAGCTACACAGTGTAACCCTGCCTCAAAAAACCAAAACAAAGCAAAATGCTAGTAGGAACATAAATGAGAAAAAAGGAATGGTTGACAAGAAGGGGACTCTCTCTCACTCTCCTTTATTGTAAGCTGCCCAGAATAATGTGGTATTATACTCTCTACTTGCATTTCAGAAAAGCACACACCAGGGGAATGCAGGTTACACACCTTATTCTGCCTTTTCTCCCCAGGGAAGTTGGTCTTCAGTTGACTCAGATTAAGGGGCAGAAGCATTCAGAAAAGAGAAGCACTGGCTCTACACACAAGCCTGATGCCGGTCAGGCCATGTCTAGCAAAATATGCAGTGTGGTGGACTTTCTACTCATTGCGTTTTCCCTTCTGGCTTCTGGCCCTCTGCCCATGTCAGTCTCATCTCCACCACCGAGAAACCCCTTGCTTCTGAGAGGAGCGACGCCTGTCCAAGGCCTGTGCTGCGCAGCCTGCAGCCACGCCCACTCCCTCAGCAGGAAACAAGTGTTGAGACGTTGAGTTTAAGCAGCTAGGGATGCAGTGGTAGTTTAGGACAGCGCCATAGTTCTCAGAGTCCCATCAGTGGTGAGTTTGTGGCCTCAAACTGCTTTCAGTTTCCTACAGTTCCTGGGGTTGGCTTTTGTTCGGGATATCTATGTGGGGAGGAGAGTGATTTCTAGGACAAAGGCCCACTGACCTGCTACCGGGATTGGAAAGCTGGCTTGTTAAGGCAAGACCTTTAACTGTCCTTGACTTGGGCTCTTGCTTTTCTTCCGAGAAGCCCTGTTTTCCAGAGAGAGACACAAGACCTGGTAAACCCTAACACCATCCCCAAGGATCTTTTGGATCTTTTTATGGATCTGTGACCTTTTAAACAGCTTTTCACCCATGGGAGAGAAATTTCCCTGAGTTTATTTGCAGTGTAACTAAGAGGAACAATCTGGGAAAGAAAAAATTTTGTAATAACTTCAGTGCTAGACCTTGATTTATCTCTAAATGAGACGGTATTCCCATCTTAGAGATAAACACATACTGGAAGCCTCTCATGTGCTAATTCCACTTTCATAGGTGTTCTTGGTACTTTCTACTAACATAACTCCCTGTTACCAGCTCTGTTCTCCTTTTCCTCTCCAGCATTTAGAGTCCCCAGCCTTTGTCTTTGAATTTGTCTGTACCCAATCCTAGTCACTTTCTTTTTTCTCCAGCACTGCCCTGCCCTCCGTGTACACTTTTCCAGTCTCCTGATTCCTTCTTTTCATACCCTACTTTGCTGTCCCACTCCCACATCGATGGCCGTGACTTGCTGCCACACCTTTGTCACCAAGACATGCTGGCCTGGTGTGGTGGCGCATGCCTATAATGCCAGCACTCAGGAGCTGAGTCAGGAGGATTTTAGCAAGTTTGAGACCAGCCTGGGCTACATATTGAGTCCAACGTCAGCCTGAACTACATAGCAAGACCCTGTCTAAACAGAAAAACAAACAAACAAATACCAAAAAACAAGACATGCTGTCTTGATTATCCTGTGGCTGACTTGCATATGCTTCTGTTGCTGTTCTTTTTTCCTTGTTCCCAGGTGGGCATCAATTACCAGCCACCCACCGTGGTGCCAGGAGGGGATCTGGCCAAAGTCCAGAGGGCGGTCTGCATGCTGAGCAACACCACTGCGATTGCAGAGGCCTGGGCCCGCCTCGACCATAAGTTTGATCTCATGTATGCCAAGCGGGCCTTTGTGCACTGGTATGTCGGAGAGGGAATGGAAGAAGGAGAATTTTCTGAGGCCAGAGAGGACCTGGCTGCCCTGGAGAAGGATTATGAAGAAGTGGGGACTGATTCATTCGAAGAAGAAAATGAGGGGTCGGAATTTTAAATATACACATTCCCCTTGATGGTGTGTCTATATTTATGCTGCTCACATAAAGCACGTTGAACTAGGCAAGGGTAACAAGATTAGATTTTGTGAGACTCTGCCTCAAAATAAATAAATAAATAAAAAAGGTTGAGGATGCACCTCAGAGCAAAGGGTTCAATCCCCAGTATCGAGAGAGAGAGAGAGAGAGAGAGAGAGATGAGAGAGAGAGAGAGAGAGAGAGAGAGAGAGAGAGAGAGAGAGAGGGAGAGAGAGGAGAGAGTAGTGCAGGCCATTTTCCCAACCTCAGCCTGATTTCTGTCTCATGTAGGAGAAGGTACCTGACTGCAGTACCCACAGGTGACATGAGTGGCCAAAAATGGATGCTGAACTCTATCAGATCCTCTTTGTCACTTTGTCACTAAAGAAAATGAAGGTCACTGTCTCCGGGTGAGGGAGACATCAAGTTACACGTGAGAAGGCCTAATCAGGAATTTTAATTCTCATGGCCTTCAGGCTGGGGAATGACCCAGGCACAACCTGGGTGTCGAGAGGATTCCAGTGAGGGAGGGAACAGAAGTCACAACGGTGGATCTATGGCAAGGCCCAGGCGTGGCCTGCACTCACCACACTTTCTTTCACTCCTCAAATACTTGAGTACAGGCCTCTCCTCTTCTCCACTGGACACACATCCAAGACACCCACTACAGAGGCTTGAAACCATGGAGAGTACCAAAGTGTAAAACTGTTTTCCTCTGTACATACATACCTATGATAAGGTTTAACTTTTAAATTAAGTACAGAAGAGATGAACAACAATAACTGTTAATGAAACAGGAAAATTACAATGCAATACCATCATAAAAGTTATGCTGGGGATGTAGCTCATTGGTAGAACATGTGCTTAGCATGTGTGACAGGCCTGGGTTTGTTCCCAGAACCACCCACCCCCACACACACACGCATGCACACACACACACAGAGTTATGTGATTGTGATCTGTCTCTCAAAAATCTCTTATATACTGCACTCATACATCTCATATACTGTGGGTTTGGTTCCTTACATGGGAAACCAAACCCTCAAATGGTAATCAACAGACAGGAGGGGCAAATTCACATCCAGTCCCAGGCACTGTCCTAGGAGCTAGAGCTCTAGCGACAGGATGGATGCATTTCCTACCTTCATGACTTCATTGTTCAGTGAGCGAGGTCCTGTCAGATGGGGCTAGGTGACCTGAAGTAAGACCGCCAATGGGAGAAAATGTCTGGGGAGCATCTCTGTGGGTTGGGTGGTCATAGAAGACCTCACGGGGATCCAGATGACAGCAGGAGTCAGAGGCTGGGACAGTCAAGTGTGAAAACAAATGTCCAGGAACAAGTTTGGAGTTCTAAACAAAAAGGAGGTCACAGTGTCTTGGGGGAAGCTGGGAGGGGAAGAGGTGGAAAGATGGGACCGGAGACCCAGCAGGTGCTAGCACACACCTACTTTAGAGAGCATGCTAAGTTTAGATTTTTTTCTAAGTGAAACACAGGTAATCAGAAAGTTTTAAATAGGGCATTAGCATAGTGGCTATGCTGTGGTGGGTGTCTTATCTTTATAAGCAATACATACCTTATCTAACCTGACAGTCTCAGACATCCTGCTCACTTGGCCCAGGGAGAAACAGACTCACAGAGCTGCTGAGCAGGTTAAGAAGGCATCAGGGAGCAGAGCTTCCAAGGTCTGTCCCTTTGTCTACCCTTACCATCCCTTCCAGGTTCCAAATGCTGCCTTGTAAAACAAGGAGTGGAGAGAAAGAAATCTTTATCTTTTATTTGTTTGTTTGTTTTGGTACCGGGGATCAAACTCGGGTCCTTGTTCTTGAGAGGCAGGTGGTGGAGCCACTGAGCTAAATCCCTGGCCTAGTCTTTAGGTTTTACAAAGGAGAAGTTGAGGAGATGGTTCTCTTCTCTGAAGTCTGTGGCTCAGACAGGATTTTGGGAACAGTCAAAATGCTGCTCTTTGGAAGCTGCTGCTGAGCTACCTGGAGGTGCTAAGTGCTAACTTTCCTGAAATGTTTCACTCCTTTTTCTTTGGAGCCTCCAAGAGTAAAGCTGGAATCTAATTTCCAGGAAAGGAAGACTAGGCAAGAAGCGATGCCAGTCTCTCCTGGAGGACTGTTTCCAGAGAGCCCATATTCTTGCCTTTCTCTGTGGGAATCACAGTGTTTAAAAAAGAGGCGTCCAGCCAGGCATGGTGGCGCACGCTTGTAATCCCAGCACTCGGGAGGCTGAGGCAGGAGGATCACTGTGAGTTCAAGACCAGCCTGGGCTACGTAGTGAAAGTGTGTGTGTGGGGTCCAGATCCATTGTCTATTGGGAGCATTCTTCAAAGCGGTCAACCTTCCAGCAATTTCCCCAGCGGTCTGTCTGTCCAGGGGTCTGCGTTAGAAAATGAGCGTCAGCAGCTGTCAGCTGCCAACATAGCTAGGGCTGTTTTCTCTCTGGACAGAGGTGAGACACCTGCTCATGGATTCAGATAAGCCTCCAGGGGCTTCTTGGGTGTGACTTCAATCTTCTTAGGGAGATTTAACACATCCCCTGGCCACGGCCTGGGATGGAGGCAGGACGCATGTGATATGTTTCTTTCCTCTAGAATTAAGGAAATGGTGTTAAAATAAACATGATATCAAAGACACAAAAGTGATGTTTAAGAGGCATGTGTAAAGGTAGATGAGGTGCAGTACTACTATCCAGAATATATAAAGAATTTGAAGAAATCAGACCCCTGAAATCTAAAGACCCAATCCCAAAATGGGCATCTGCAATGAACAGATACTTTTCAGCTGAAGAAAGTAGATGAAGTAGCTGAAGAAACAGCAATTAAATATATGAAAAAATGTTCAACAATCATTCGAGAGATGCAAATTAAAATGACGCTGAGAATCCATCTCACTCCAGAAAGAATGGCTGCTGTCATTACATCAACCAGTCACAAATGCTGGAAGGTCTGTGGGGAAAAAGGAACCCTGCTCCACTGCTGGTGGGAGTGCAGGCTGGTGCAACCACTGTGGAAATCAGTGTGGAGATACCTCAGAAACTAAAACTACAGGTTCCATTTGACCCAGCTCTTCCCCTTCTTGGCATCTTCCTGAAAGAATGAAAAGCATCCTACCACAGTGATATATGCACAGCCATGTTTGTAGTGGCACAGTTTGCAATAGCTAAATCTTGGAAACAACCCAAACGCCCATCAACCAATGAATAAAGAAGATGTGGGTTTTTAAAAAATACAAGAGAGCACTACTCTGCCATAAAGAAGGATAAGCATGAGACATTTCCTAGCTATTGATGCATCTTGAGACAATACTCTTAAGTGAAATAAATTAGACACACATGACTAAATACTGCAGTGTTCCTCTGGTGTGAGAAATTGAAAGTGTAAATAAGGACCAAAATAAATAATAGATATTGGAAAATGGGAAGAACATGTTCAAATTAGAAGGGGAGCAAGGGAGGGAGGAGAGGGATAGGAAAGAAGGGACAAGGGAAAAAAATAGAACAAAAATAATGAAAACAAAGCTTTTGTAAATTGCGGGGGAGAGGTTGATGGGAGGGGAAGGGAATGGGAGAAAACGAAGAAGCAAGATATATCATGCGCAGGTACAAATTCTTTATAATGGATATTATCATTATATATATATCTAAGATGTACTAATAAAAATCCAAAAATATTCCACTTGTCTTAAAGTTAGTGTTAGAGAAACATTGGAGATATTGCAGAAAGGAATAAGGCAAGGATGGTGAGTGTCTTGAATCTTTACTACTATTTAGAAAGGAAAAGTCAGAAGAAGAAGAATTAGAATAATAGTTCTGGGTAGGTTTAAAGGTGCTCCACCTGGGTGTGAGTGCTGTCTGCCCTAAGGGTGGGTATCCTGGGTAGAATATAAGGGACAGAAAGAGGACTGCTGTGGTTGCTTGCTGCCTCACTACTTCTTTGGTTTGCTGCCTTCTGCTCACTATTAATTCTTTCTCCTCTGCAATGCCCCTCCACCATGCCACTTTGCCTTGGAGCCAGCCAGTTATGAAATGAAACCCCTACAAACTATGAGCTAAATAAGTCTTTCCTCCTTTATCTTTGGGTGTTAGGCATTTTGTCACCTGTCTTAGTTACTTTTCTTGTTGCTGTGACTATCTGGAAAATCATATTGAATCAATGATAAGACTGTAGCTTTTATGCTGGGGATTTAGCTCAATGGTTCCACCGCCTGCCTTGCAAGCACAAGGACCCAAGTTTGGTCCCTGGTACCAAAACAAAACAAAACAAAACAGCAACAACAAAAAACAACCCACAAAAAACAAAACACACACACACACACACACACAAAAAAAAAAAATGACTGTGGCCTTTATAAAGAAATAGCCAGTGAGGACTGTACAAGGGAAAAACTCCATTAACAACAGCACACAAAAAACAGTCCCTTAGGAATAACAACTTAGGAAATGTTAGAAACCTGTATGAGAAAAACTTCAAACTAAAAGATACAAAAGTACCTGGGCAAATTTAAAGACATTATTTATTATTAGATAGTATATTTTAACAAACTAAATGTTATTCTTCCCATTACTTAATAAATTTAATACAACACAGCCCACAGCCTTTTTAAAAGAGAAAAATCCTTCAATTCTAAATAATAATAGACCCATATGAAGCTGTAAAAATAGTAGGAAAAGACTGAGAAGTATCCTTAACCCAGTTTCCTTCAGCATTTACATTTTACACAATATCAAAACCAAGCAAGTAACATCGACACAGTGTTTACCATATTTTATCTGTAGATTTGTGTAATTACATCTTTAAGAAACCATTCTCTAACCAAAAAGTTCTCTCTGCTTTCTATATTCTCCCCAGACCTCACTCTGTGCACACCCACAAGCAACCACTAATGGTTTCCTTAATGGAAATGTTATAAAAATGGAATTATATGATATGCACATTGTGATGTATAACTGTCTAAGAGTTTCAAATAGAGGGTGGGTGGTGAATTATCTCAAATGCTGATACAGTTATGTGATTTTTCTTCTTTAGTTTGCTAATAAGGTGGATTGCAATGATTTTTGAATATTAACCAACCTATATACTGGAATAAGCCTACTTGGTCAACATATATCATTCTGTTTATATGTTGTTGAATTATATTCATTAATATTTTGTGCAGGATTTTTATGTCTGTTTTCATGGGGGGATCTTGGTCTGCAGT